ATATATATATACATAGTTTCAGGGGCTGAGACAATTGTATTTTCTGATGTTAGTTGATATTAAACATTTGATAAATTGCTTAAATGGTATTATCCAGAAATATGAGTCCACCTCTTTAGAAAAAATAAAAGGGGATAAAAGGAAAAGGGTGAAATGTAATATCTCTCTCTTTTAGGAGAAGCTTATAAGATGTGTGTATGAACCAAATCAACTAATGTCAACAGTGTTGCTTGTAGCTTTTATTGTTCATAGATGTCCTGAGGATATAACATAAAATTATTTTAATGCGACTGTTATTGCTAAATTTAACATGAGTTTTTTAATGATGAAAGGGGATTTGCTAGTTGTTTAGCAGAATTCTAAACAAGTTCTACTTGCTTATGATGGAATTATTCTTAGACTAAAATATAAGCTGTGCTTCCCGCCCCCCACACATTTTGGGCATTTGATATCCCTGATCCACACACTGTAGAACCCACATCTAAGGAACAGCAAGCAATTTGCTGGTGAGTCACATGGAAAAGAAACTTGAGTGTTTTTCAGGGCAAAGGAATTTAGCAGTGATGATGTAAAATAGGCAAACTGAATCTTGCCTCATCTCCAAGAAATATTCGTTTTCCTCCTTTCCCCTTAATCTTCCACGTTATGTAAACTAAATTTACAGAGGTTTGTCATTTTCAAAATAAGCATGTTTAACACAAGAAGCAACAAAGGACAGTTCTGAAAAGGGAAATTGGTTTTCATTATAAAACTAGAAATACTCCCTTTAAGTTCTCAAGTATGCAGAGTTGAAACTTTTATTGAAGGATTTAAGATGGCAGTAAGGCCTAGGCCATTACAGACCTTGTGGTCCTTAGAGAATTGTAGTTCCCACTTTGATTATAAAGTCGGGATCTCCCCTCTACTATTGCCTCCCATTCCTACTCCTACTATCTGAGGATACAGTAGGATATATCCAGCTGTGTCCTCAGATGCTAGAATGGTGCTTGGAACAAGATGGGTGCTCAGAACTTGGCTTGAATTGCTTGGCCTGACAGAGGTCCTTTACTGTCCGGGAACCTATATTATCTACACAGCATGTAGGAGGGACCCTAACGGGAAATGGCTTGTACAGGAGTGTTTCACTGCACACACTGAGCCTATATTATTTTCACTAGTTCTGCCTCATCAACTTGTCCACAACCACCTTTTTCTAGGTGGTCTAATTTCTGATTGTTTTTAGAAAAACGGTATTCTGTTACCTTGATTATTAATTAGTCCCCAAATGTTTGTCACCCTCTTTTTATATAGTAAATATCCACAGCCTTTCTACTTGCTGA